AGCGGTGAGCGGGTTTTTGAGCGGTATGCAGGCAAAATTTTGCGATAAAAGCGAGCGTTATGTCGGATTGAAACGTTATGTGATGCCGAGGTATGGCGGTTCCACTGCATATATATATATTGTATATGATATATATATATATATTAATATATTATATATATATATATATATATATAATATATATATATATATATATATATATATATATATATATATATATATATATATATATATATATATATATATATATATATATATACAGTGGACCCCCGCATAACGATCACCTCCGAATGCGACCAATTATGTAAGTGTATTTATGTAAGTGCGTTTGTACGTGTATGTTTGGGGGTCTGAAATGGCTAATCTACTTCACAATATTCCTTATGGGAACAAATTCGGTCAGTACTGGCACCTGAACATACTTCTGGAGTGAAAAAATATCGTTAACCGTGGTCCACTCTATATATATATATATATGTATATATATATATATATGTATATATATATATATGTATATATATATATATGATATATATATATATATGTATATATATATATATGTATATATATATATATGTATATATATATATATGTTATATATATAATATTATATATATATATATGTATATATATATATATGTATATATATATATAGGAGAGGAGAGTTATTAAATGGAGAGTTATAGTATTGGAAGATGGAGGAATATTTTGAGGAATTGTTAAATGTTGATGAAGATTGGAAGCTGTGATTTCATGTGTAGGGCAAGGAGGAATAACATCTTGTAGGAGTGAGGAAGAGCCAGTTGTGAGTGTGGGGGAAGTTCGTGAGGCAGTAGGTAAAATGAAAGGGGGTAAGGCAGCCGGGATTGATGGATAAAAGATAGAAATGTTAAAAAGCAGGTGGGTATATAGTTTTGGAGTGGTTGGTGCAATTATTTAATAAATGTATGGAAGAGGGTAAGGTACCTAGGGATTGGCAGAGAGCATGCATAGTTCCTTTGTATAAAGGCAAAGGGGACAAAAGAGAGTGCAAAAATTAATAGGGGATAAGTCTGTTGAGTATACCTCGTAAAGTGTATGTTAGAGTTATTATTGAAAGAATTAAGAGTAAGACGGAGAATAGGATAGCAGATGAACAAGGAGGCTTTAGAAAGGTAGGGGTGTGTGGACCAGTGTTTACAGTGAAACATATAAGTGAACAGTATTTAGATAAGGCTAAAGAGGTCTTTGTGGCATTTATGGATTTGGAAAAAGCGTATGACAGGGTGGATAGGGGGACAATGTGGCAAATGTTGCAGGTGTATGGTATAGGAGGTAGGTTACTGAAAGCAGTGAAGAGTTTTTACGAGGATAGTGAGGCTCAAGTTAGAGTATGTAGGAAAGAGGGAAATTATTTCCCAGTAAAAGTAGGCCTTAGACAAGGATGTGTGATGTCACCGTGGTTGTTTAATATATTTATAGATGGGGTTGTAAGAGAAGTAAATGCGAGGGTCTTGGCAAGAGGCGTGGAGTTAAAAGATAAAGAATCACACATAAAGTTGGAGTTGTCACAGTTGCTCTTTGCTGATGACACTGTGCTCTTGGGAGATTCTGAAGAGAAGTTGCAGAGATTGGTGGATGAGTTGGTAGGGTATGCAAAAGAAGAAAATTAAAAGTGAATACAGGAAAGAGTAAGGTTATGAGGGTAAAAAGATTAGGTGATGATAGATTGGATATCAGATTGGGAGGAGAGAGTATGGAGGAGGTGAATGTATTCAGATATTTGGGAGTGGACGTGTCAGCGGATGGGTCTCTGAAAGATGAGGTGAATCATAGAATTGATGAGGGGAAAAGGGTGAGTGATGCACTTAGGAGTCTGTGGAGACAAAGAACTTTGTCCTTGGAGGCAAAGAGGGGAATGTATGAGAGTATAGTTTTACCAACGCTCTTATATGGGTGTGAAGCGTGGGTGATGAATGTTGCAGCGAGGAGAAGGCTGGAGCCAGTGGAGATGTCATGTCTGAGGGCAATGTGTGGTGTGAATATAATGCAGAGAATTCGTAGTTTGGAAGTTAGGAGGAGGTGCGGATTACCAAAACTGTTGTCCAGAGGGCTGAGGAAGGGTTGTTGAGGTGGTTCGGACATGTAGAGAGAATGGAGCGAAACAGAATGACTTCAAGAGTGTATCAGTCTGTAGTGGAAGGAAGGCGGGGTAGGGGTCGGCCTAGGAAGGGTTGGAGGGAGGGGGTAAAGGAGGTTCTGTGTGCGAGGGGCTTGGACTTCCAGCAGGCATGCGTGAGCGTGTTTGATAGGAGTGAATGGAGACAAATGGTTTTTAATACTTGACGTGCTGTTGGAGTGTGAGCAAAGTAACATTTATGAAGGGATTCAGGGAAACCGGCAGGCCGGACTTGAGTCCTGGAGACGGGAAGTACAGTGCCTGCACTCTGAAGGAGGGGTGTTAATGTTGCAGTTTAAAAACTGTAGTGTAAAGCACCCTTCTGGCAAGACAGTGATGGAGTGAATGGTGGTGAAAGTTTTTCTTTTTCGGGCCACCCTGCCTTGGTGGGAATCGGCCATTGTGATAATAATAATAATAATAATTTTTCAGCCGCTTTGTGGTCCGAACTGGCAGCCTCACCATGCCTTATCACACTATGTATGCCACTACAATTCTTAAATCTCTCAAACTAACCTTTGCTGGCCTTAAATTCACTCACATCATCACTAGTTGCAGGCTTTTTTTCTAATTAAATCGTCATGCAACTTCCTAGCCTTTTCACATATGATTGCTTGAGAGATGCTATCTCCTGCTATCTGTTTTTCGTTTATCCACACCAATAACAGTCTCTCAACATTTTCTAACACTTGCGATTGCTGTTTTGTAATCACAGTTGCACCTTTTGCAAGAACAGCTTCCTTGATTGCCGTTTTCCTGCTCACTGTAGTAGAGATGGTTGATTGGGATTTACTATACAACTTGGCCAGGTCCGACACACGCACTCCACTTTCATACTTTTCTATTATCTCTTTCTTCATTTCAATAGTCATTAGCACCCTTGGTGTCGATGGGTTGGCACTAGAAGCTTTCTTGGGGCCCATGGTGACTTATTTTGCAGAAACAAGCACAAAAAGCAGTGATAATATGGATAATATGGAATGTACCGAATGTATCCTTAGATGCGCGCACACTGGCTGGCTTGTAAACACTGGCACACACGGGTCAGTTCAGGCCACACGTGGACACGTCTCGTATGAATTGTATTGTGTACCGGGTTTTGTAACGGGAACCGAGGCAAATTTTTTGTGATATAATGCTTCGGATACCGGATTTATCGGTTACCGATGACTTCGCGAACCGGGGGTCCACTGTATGTGTGTGTGTGTGTGTGTGTGTGTGTGTGTGTGTTGTGTGTGTGTGTGTGTGTTGTGGTTATATATATATATATATATATATATATATATATATATATATATATATATATATATATATATATATATATATATATATATATATATATATATATATATATATATATATATGAAGGAGGGGTGTTAATGTTGCAGTTTAAAAACTGTAGTGTAAAGCATCCTTCTGGCAAGACAGTGATGGAGTGAATGATGGTGAAAGTTTTTCTTTTTCGGGCCACCCTGCCTTGGTGGGAATCAGCCAGTGTGATAATAAAAAAAAAAAAATATATATATATATATTTATATATATATATATCTATTTTCAACACACCGCCGTTATCAACAACGAGGCGGGGTGGCCAAAAGGAAAAACGAAGTTTCTCCTTTTACATTTAGTATATATATACAGGGAGATAGGGTTACTAAGACCCCTTGCTCCCGCATTTTAATTGCCTCTTACAACACGATGCTTCGGCGGAGAACGAATTCCAGTTCCACTCCCCATGGAGATAAGAGAAATAAATAGATATGATACTAGAAAGAAAATAGAAGATTAACAATGGTTGTGTTTTATATGTCTTGTACGAATGCAATAAAAATTTTGATTTATGTGACCAAGTGTAAGTATGAATGTTGAAGACGTACTGTAATCTGCATGTTCATTGAGTACAGAAAAAAGGACACTCAGCAATCCTCCATCATGTAAAACAATTACAGCTTTCGTTTATCACATCACGTTGCAGTACATAGTACCTCTCAGGGGGTTGTGTTCTACCACCACTACCCTCCTATTATTATATTGGTAAGTCAGTAGTGAGTAGTTGTATAGTATGGTTTTATCAATAATAATCAGATTTAAATTGTTTTTTGTTTTTATATATTTGTAAGAACTGCCAAATATTAGAAAATACAGGAGCTCTTTGCATTCTTGTACCACTGTAATGAGCTATAATGTTGATATTACTGTAATGAGTTACAATATTAGTACCACTACAGTGAGTTATAATATTGGTACCACTTCAGTGAGTTGCAATATTGGTACTACTACAGTGAGTTATAATATTCCTACCACTACAGTGAGTTACAATATTGGTACCACTACAGTGAGTTATAATATTAGTACCACTACAGTGAGTTATAATATTGGTACCACTACAGTGAGTTACAATATTGGTACCACTACAGTGAGTTATAATATTGGTACCACTACAGTGAGTTATAATATTGGTACCACTACAGTGAGTTATAATATTGGTACCACTACAGTGAGTTATAATATTGTACCAATATAGTGAGTTATAATTTTAGTGTACCACTACAGTGAATTATAGTTTTAGTACCACTACAGTGAGTTACAATTTTAGTACCACTACAGTGAGTTATAATAGTGTACCACTACAGTGAGTTATAATTTTATTACCACTGGAGAGTGAGCATTATAACTTTATCACAAATGTTGCTTATTGTTTTAGTTTTTTGTTGTGCTTTTATAAGGATGTACAGAGTGCATTATTCTTGAGATTTATCATATTACTGGAAAGTTATTTCATTTATAACCATTTATTATTGTTGCATTGTAATGTAGCATAATCATGTTTCTATTTTTTCAGGACTTTGAAGGCGTTACCCCAAACACATTATGTCGCATTGTTGAGACTGTGAGTGGTGGTGGGGTTGTGGTGTTTCTCATGCAAGGCATGCACTCCCTCAGGGACCTCTTTCCTCTTGTTATGGACGTTCATGGTAAACTCAAGACATATTCCCACCCTCATGTTACTCCACTCTTTAATGAAAGGTTAGTTCACAGTTTGTTAACATGTTCATGAATTCTGTGTTTAATTTGCATATTATCAGAGTAATGGAGGAGGTTGCAGACTGATAGGTATCTGCTTGTTCTGCATTGATCAGGTGAACTTGGATTATGCTGCTTAGTATCTTGATTAGTTTACACTTTGTAGAATGTTGTTGAAGTCTGATGCTTTGTGAACTGCTTGATGATTGGCTGGTGCTACTTGAACTACTTGATGATTGGCTGGTGCTACTTGAACTGCTTGATGATTGGCTGGTGCTACTTGAACTGCTTGATGATTGGCTGGTGCTACTTGAACTGCTTGATGATTGGCTGGTGCTACTTGAACTGCTTGATGATTGGCCTCAAGAATTTTCAGTGTGTTTGTATTCTGTGTGTTTAAATTTACAAACAAGTTGTTTTTTGTAGAAATTATAGTACAAATAATGATAATTATTGTATTTTACTGTGAACAAGATGCTCCGGCATTAAAGATGCAACACAATTCTGTCTAAATTTTGGAAAAATGATAAATGTTATCCAAAGTAATAACTGTGCTGTAGTACTACAGCTTTGAGGTCACTGTGAGTGCCGTAGTACTACGCCATGTGCTCAGCTCACTGAGATAAGTTGTTAGCAGTAAATTTGGGCCTAGGTATGAGAGAATGGGTCTGTGTGATAAGTGTGCACCATATAAAAAAAATCCTGCAGCATGCATTATTTAATGAGAAAAAACTGCAGTCATGTTTTGGGTTTAACCCTTTGAGGGTCCAAGCCGTAGTTCTACACCATGAGCTCAGCTCACTCAAATAAGCTGTGAGTAGTAAATTTGGGCCTAGATATGAGAGAATGAATCTGTGTGGTAAGTATGCACCATATAAAACAAATTCTGCATCACGCAGTGCATAATGAGAACAAAAAACTGTGACCTTGTTTTCAGATTAAAACTGCAACTTTGTGGTGTATTTGCAGTTTCTTGGTCTCATTTGATAGAATATAAGAAATATTACAGAAATAGAGATGGTTTTGATTGGTTTTATTACTGAAAATAGCTTGAAATTGAGCTCAAAATAGCGGAAATGTTCGATTTTTGCCGATGTTCAAGAGTAAACAGATGACGTTCCGCATCCAATATACGTCAGCTGGTGGGTCTGATGTGCATTCATGAATGCGCTGATATTATTTATACAATTATTACAATATTGCATAACAGTAAATCTCATATTTTTTGGTGTGAATAAAAATTCATTATGTGAATAAAAAATAAAAATGGAATTAATTTTTTATGCCTAAAACATAACTAATAAACAGGGAATGTTATTTTAGTGCCATGAATGCCTACATTGTTTATTCTGGACCATATTTTGAAATTGGAATTTTTTGAACTTTGTGTGGAATTGACCAAATTACCAATTTCTGATCACTTTATTGGGTAGTTTAAATAGTTACACTTTCTTGTGCTCAGTTGATAAAATAGAAGTAATACTAGCGAAATAGCTAAGAATTTGGTCGACTGGAATAATGTAATTGACCTAAAATAGGAGTCAGAGTGGGCAAAATTGTCAATGCGTAAATATTGCCGACACAGTAAAATTCGCAATAGCATAATTTCGTCAGTTTTCCATCAAATTTCGTACTTTTTATTTTATTACCTTCAGAAAAAGATTCTCTACCATTTCATAAGAAAAAATAAAAAATTTTTTTTTTGAAAATTCTTGGACCCTGTGGACAAGGCGTAGAACTACGGTTTGGACCGTCAAAGAATTAAAACAGCGATTTCGTGGTGTATTTTTGTATAGTGTTTATAATTGTATTCTTCGTTTCTTGGTCTCCTTTGATAGAATGGAAGATATATTACAAAAATAGAGATGATTTTCATTGGTTTCAGGATGGAAAATAGCTTGAAATTGAGTTCAAAGTAGCAGAAATATTCAATTTTTGCCGATATTCAAGGGTAAACAAATCACATCACTCATCCAATACACATCAGCTGGTGAGTCTAATATGCATTCATGAATGCACTGATATTATTTACACAATTACAGTGGACCCTCGACTAACGCTATTAATCCGTTCCTGAGAGCTCATAGTTAGTCAAAATTATCGTTAGTCAAGTTAATTTTCCCCATAAGAAATAATGGAAATCAAATTAATCCGTGTAGGACACCCCAAAGTATGAAAAAAAAATTGTTTTTACCACATGAAATATTAATTTTAATACACACAAACTGAAGAAGACATGCACAGTTACATGACACTTAACTTTATTGAAGATCAGGTGATGATTGATGGGATGGGAGGAGGGGAGAGTGTTGATGGTCTTAGTGTTTAGAAGGGGAATCCCCTTCCATTAGGACTTGAGGTGGCAAGTACCTTTCCGGGGTTACTTCTCTTCCCTTTAAATCTCTCAAACCAACCTTTGCTGGCCTTAACTTCACTCACATCACCACTAGTTGCTGGCATTTTTTTAATTAAATCGCCATGCAACTTCCTAGCCTTTTCACATATGATCGCTTGAGAGATGCTATCTCCTGCTATCTGTTTTTCTTTTATCCACACCAATAACAGTCTCTCAACATCTTCGAGTACTTGCGATCTCAGTTTCGAAAACATAGTTGCACCTTTGGCAAGAACAGCTTCCTTGATTGCCGTTTTCTTGCCCACAATAGTAGCGATGGTTGATTGGGGTTTTGTGTACAACCTGGCCAGCTCGGAGACACGCACTCCACTTTCATACTTAGCAATGATCTCTTTCTTCATATCCATATTAATTCTCACCCTTTTTGCTGTAGGGTTGGCACTAGAAGCTTTCTTGGGGCCCATGGTGACTTATTTTGCAGGTGCAATCACTAAAAAGGCTGTGATAATATGAAATGTTCCGATTGTATGCTTGGAAGTGACCGCGGTGGCTGGCTGGCTTGTAAACACTGGCCGGAAGTGGACGTGTCTCAGACTGAACGAATAGTGTTGGTCGAGTTTTTTAACGCTAGTCGAGGCAAAATTTTTGCGTTAAAATGTATCGCTAGTTGGAATTATCGTTAATTGATGCCATCGTTGGTCGAGGGTCCACTGTATTACAATATTGCATAACAGTCAATCTTCTGTTTTTTTGTGTGAATAAAAATTCTTTGTTTGAATAAAAAATCAAAATGGAATTCATATGTAAAGCCTGGGAATGTAACTGATGAACAGAGGAATGCCTGCAGTGTTTATTCTGGACCCTGTTTTGAAACCGGAATACAGTGGACCCCCGCATAGCGACCTTAATCCGTGCAAGAGGGCTGGCTGTTATGCGAAATGTTCAGTATGTGAATGAATTTTCCCCATAAGAAATAATGGAAATAAAATTAATCCGTGCAAGACACCCAAAAGTATGAAAAAAAATTTTTTTTACCACATGAAATGTTAATTTTAGTACACACAAACTGAAAAAGGCATGCACAATTACATGACACTTACTTTTATTGAAGATCTGGTGATGATTGATGGGATGGGAGGAGGGGAGAGAGAGTGTTAGTGTTTAGAAGGGGAATCCCCTTCCATTAAGACTTGAGGTGTCGAGTCCTTTTCTGGGGTTACTTCCCTTCTTCTTTTAATGCCACTAGGACCAGCTTCAGAGTCACTGGACTTCTTTCGCACAACATATCTGTCCATAGTGGCCTGTACCTCTCGTTCCTTTATGATTTGTCTAAAGTGGTTCACAACATTGTCATTGTAACAGTCACCAGCACAGCTTGCAATAGCTGTGTAGGGTGATTTTCATCAAAAAAGGTTTGCACTTCAAGCCATTTTGCACACATTTCCTTAATCTTTGAAGTAGGCAATTCCTTCAATTTCTCTCTCCCCTCCTTTGAACCAGTTTCCCCAGGTCTGGCCTCTTGCTCTTGAAGTTGATCTATCAGCTCATCAGTGGTTAGTTCTTCATTGTCCTCCTCCACCAACTCTTCCACATCCTCCCACTAACCTCCAACCCCAAGGACTTCCCCAATGCCACAATTGATTCCTCAACTGGTATACTCCTCTCAGGGTTAGCCTCAAACCCTTCAAAATCCCTTTTGTCTACACATTCTGGCCACAGTTTCTTCCAAGCAGAGTTCAAGGTCTTCTTAGTCACTCCCTCCCAAGCCTTACCTATAAGGTTTATACAATTGAGGATATTAAAGTGATCTCTCCAAAACTCTCTTAGAGTCAGTTGAGTTTCTGAGGTCACTACAAAGCACCTTTCAAACAGAGCTTTTGTGTACAGTTTTTTGAAGTTTGCAATAACCTGCTGGTCCATGGGCTGCAGGAGAGGAGTGGTATTAGGAGGCAAAAACTTCACCTTAATGAAGCTCATGTCCCCATAAAGTCGCTCTGCCACGTCTGTAGGATGACCAGGGGCATTGTCTAACACCAGGAGGCACTTAAGTTCTAATTTCTTTTCAGTTAGGTAATCTTTCACATTGGGGGCAAATGCATGGTGTAACCAGTTATAGAAAAAGTCCCTAGTGACCCATGCCTTACTGTTTGATCTCCACAGCACACACAAATTCTCCTTGAGGACATTCTTTTGCCTGAACGCTCTGGGAGTTTCAGAGTGATACACTAATAGAGGCTTAACTTTGCAATCACCACTAGCATTGGCACACATCAACAAAGTAAGCCTGTCTTTCATAGGCTTATGTCCTGGGAGTGCCTTTTCCTCCTGAGTAATGTAGGTCCTGCTTGGCATTTTCTTCCAGAACAGGCCTGTTTCATCACAATTAAACACTTGTTCAGGTTTCAGTCCTTCAGTTTCTATGTACTCCTTGAATTCCTGCACATATTTTTCAGCCGCTTTGTGGTCCGAACTGGCAGCCTCACCATGCCGTATCACACTATGTATGCCACTACGCTTCTTAAATCTCTCAAACCAACCTTTGCTGGCCTTAAATTCACTCACATCATCACTAGTTGCAGGCCTTTTTTTAATTAAATCCTCATGCAACTTCCTAGCCTTTTCGCTTATGATCGCTTGAGAGACGCTATCTCCTGCTAGCTGTTTTTCATTTATCCACACCAATAAGAGTCTCTCAACATCTTCCATCACTTGCGATCTTTGTTTCGAAAACACAGTTAAACCTTTGGCAAGAACAGCTTCCTTGATTGCCTTTCTGTTGCCCACAATAGTAGAGATGGTTGATTTGGGTTTCTTGTACAACCTGACCAGGTCGGTGATACGCACTCCACTTTCATACTTATCAATGATCTCTTTCTTCATCTCTATTGGAATTCTAACCCTTATTGCTGTAGGGTTGGAACTAGAAGCTTTCTTGGGGCCCATGGTCACTTATTTTCCAGAAACAGCACCGAAAACACTGTAATAATACGAAATATTTCGATTGTATGCTTGAATGTTACCGCGGAGGCTGGCTGGTAAACAATGCCACCGGCGGAACATATGAGGCTGGCTCAGGCCGCACATTGGACGCGTCTCGGACGAAGGGCGCTGAGCGGGTTTTTGGGCGGTATGCGGGGCAAAATTTTAGCGATCAAAGCGTCCGGTATGCGGATTGTCCGTTATGCAAGGCGTCCGGTATGCGGGGGTCCACTGTATTTTGAAATTTGTGTGAAATTGGCCACATTACCAATTTCTCATCACTTTATTGGGCAGTTGAAATAGTTGGTTGGGCAATTTCTTGTGCTCAGTCGATAAAATGGAAGACATACTAGTGAAATAACTAAAAATTTGGTCAACTGGAACAGTGTAAGTGGTCTAAAACAGGACTCAAAGTGGGCAAAATCGCCGATGCTTAGATATCGCTAATGCAGCAAAATTCATGAAAGCATAATTTCGTCAGTTTTCCATGAGATTTCGTACTTTTTGTTGTATTACCTTCAGAAAAACATTCTCTACCATTTCATAAAAAACAAAATAATTTTTTTTTTAAATTCTTGGACATTGTGGACAAGTTTCAGATTGTGAGTCTGGACAGTGAAAGGGTTAAATTTGAGGCATTACTTGTAAAAACACACATGTTGATGGTTTGTTCTGCATTTGTTTACCACTGATACAGCTGGCTGGCAGGGTTGCCAACTAAGCAGTTTGGATGTGACTTCCCTCTTCACAAAAGTACCTACCAAAAAAGCCATCGAGGTTCTACGACGTAAAGTCAACCAGGACCTTAATCTTCCTTTACCTCCCGGAGATTTTGTTGACTTGATTGAACTCTGTGTTAATTTCAACTGTTTTTCTTTCAATAACAAGCTCTACAAACAAACCTACGGCATGGGAATGGGGTCCCCAATAAGTGCCGTCCTAGCCAACTTATACATGGAACACCTAGAGTCCGAACACTTCGCCAACATCATCCCTTCAAGCGTCACTTGGTTACGTTACGTGGACGATGTCCTCGTAATAACTCCAAAACGTTTTGATGTACGGGATCTTCAGGCAAGGCTCAACGCAGTTGAACCAGCGATTCAGTTTACACTAGAAGAAGAGTCCAATGACAAGCTACCTTTCCTCGACGTCCTCATTCACAAAGTAGACAACAACCTAAGATTTCAAGTTTATCGGAAACCCACCAATAAAAATGATCTCACACACTTCTATTCAAGTCAAGATACCAAGACCAAAAGAGGCATCATCATCGGGTTTTTCCTAAGAGCATACCGAATTTGCAGTCCTGAGTTTCTTGACGAGGAATGTACTTACATTCACCAAACATTCACTGAGTTACAATTTCCGTCTTTTTTCATCAAAGACTGCAAGAAAAGAGCTCTTCAGATCATCAATTCTCCACGCATCAACACCGCTCCCAACAAAGTTATAATTCTTCCCAACAGCCAGGTTGCACTAAACGTCTCAAAAGTACTTTCACAAGCTAACACCAGAGTCGCCATCGCTTCTACCACTTCAATAAAGGATCTAACCAGGACAAAACCCAAGCACCACGAACCAGTCAATGCAGGAGTTTACACTATACCCTGTGGAGGCTGTGACAAGATCTACGTAGGTGAAACAGCAAGAAACCTCGACACCCACCTCAATGAACACATGTACGCATGTAGGAACGACAACTTAAACAACGCCTGTGTACAACACCAAAATTCCACCAATCATCTCATGAAATTCAGAGACGCCCAATTAGTGATCAAAGAAACTAATTTCCGCAGATGCAAGTGCCTCGAATCAGCACTGATCGCTGTTTCGAATACAATTAAACAAAACAACGGCAGCTTCACCATCTCCGAAGTCTTAGCAAGAATCCTCCTGAAAACAGTAAACCCTGCCATCACATAGTCTCTCCTGTTATACTACACAAAGCACATTACAGAGAGTGAACACTGAAAAAAACCTGCCTCTTTCCAGTCTATATTTGTCCAACCTATTTTTATGTTACCCAAGTAATAGCTTTTATATCCTTTTACTCATGTACGAATTAATTGCTCTTCCATATTGTATTATTTTTGTTACTACTACTACTACCACTAGTGAACATCGAAATGTTACCTCACTAGTATTACACCTCACTCTGAGCCTTTATATACCCTCTGTGTCCATGTATTGTTTGTAATGGCTTGATAAAGCTCCTGGAGAGCGAAACGTTGCCACAATAAATGTCACATTAGTTGCACTTGTGTCCTTTTACTTTACATATTGTCGGTAATTCTACCAACTTTATTACATTACTAAATTTGAAAGGAGAAACTTTCATTTTTCCTTTTGGGCCACCCCGCCTCAGTGGGATACAGCCGGTGTGTTGAAAGAAAGAAAGAAGATAAAGAACTTTTCAAAAATATATCGTTTTTATTTTCATTTGTTAAGAAACCTGTTTAAAATCACAGAATGGGTGGTTGTCGAACCCATGGCAGGTGAGTCGTTCAACTCTGAGGTCATTGTGTTTCAATATACTACTTGGTTGTCTTATAGATAGCCAGATGACTGCATAATTACTCAGTATTAACTTAGCAGTTGTTTGGGTGGTAATTCAAATGTTATGACAATTTTCAGGCAGCTATAACAGAATTTGATATTTAATTATTTCTCTGGCAGGTTTGTGATTTCCTTGGGTTGGTGTAAATCTTGTTTGATTTTGAATGACCGACTTGAAATCACTCCTGAACTGCCACCTCTCTGTGGGCCGGTTGATGCAGTGAGTAACACACGTTTGGCTGAGGTGGAGGCTTCTCAGGCTGGCCTGCTGGAGCTGCAGAAGAGCCTTGAGGATGGTGAAAAACCTCTTCCTCAACTTGTTGGTTGCTGCAAAACACTAGACCAGGTGAGTAGTAACTAATGGTAATGATACTATCATTCTTATCTATTTTATTGTGCCATGTCTCTTGTCCTAACTTTCCCCAAGATCTTCCATGATCATGACACACAGGTCTTACTTTCTTTTGACACTTGTACTGTTATGAGAAAGATTCCTGAAGTAATCCTCCACAGTACTATCACAAAGACATTCCAGAAACATACACACATAACCTGCACATAGAAGAGAGGAGCTTACGACGATGTGTCGGTCCGACTTGGATCATTTGGACCTGAAGTAATCCTCCACAATGCTATCACAAGACATTCCTGAAGTAATCCTCCACAATACTCTCATGAGATATATTCCTGAATTAATTGTCCACTTTCTTGTTCCATGGTATAGATTATCTAGTCATCACCCTGAACCCCCTGTGCTATATTCTTGTATGTCTGTTTTACAGTCTTGTCATCACTCATCCTTTATTAATATATTAATGTTGGTAGAATTACTGACAATATGCTAGGTTAAAAGACACAAGTGCAAGTAGTGTCACATTTTATTGTGACAACGTCAAGCTGTAATGGCTTGATAAAACTCCTGGAGAGCGAAACGTTGCCGCAATAAAATACGACATTAGTTGCACTTGTGTCCTTTTACTAATATCCTTTATTAATGTTTGATTGATAGTAGAGTATTCTTTTTGATTCGCTTGTACTTGCCACCTCACATCTCTGGTCAGCTCCATCATCCCAAGTACTCCATGCACTTCCCAAATTTTATTCCCTATATCCCTATGAAGAATATAGAATACAGTACAATTTTTATTTCTTTATTTGTTACAAATAATGTAGTTTACATATAATAAAACATTGGTAGGAACAGAAGAAAGCCACTAATTATGTGATGTACACAAATAACCCGCACACAGAAGAGAGGAGCTTACGATGACGTCGTAAGCTCCTCTCTTTTGTGTGCAGGTTATTTGTGTATCGTTCCAGTCACGGTATTGTGCCTTTTTTTGTTATTTATGTGATGTATTATGGGCAAACTACCCCTTATGCTTAAATGTTACTTAACCATTTCACTGTAAAGACCCCCAAATTAATATTTCTCTCAGTGTCCATTTAAAAAAAAAAATGTATTTTTTCTTCTGAAATGGTAGAGAATATTTTTCTGGAGGTAATGGTACCAAAAGTACAAAATTTCATGGAAAACTTATGTAATGATGTAGCCACAAAGTTAGTGGTCTCCTTGCAAGTTATGCATCAGTGATTTCACCCACTTTAAACCAAATTTATTTTATACCAATTCCATTGCTCTAGTTGACCGAGTTGTTAGGTCTTTCACTAATATGCCTTCACTTTATCAGTTGTTCACAAGAAACCACCTACAATAGACCCTTGGTTTTTGTCGATTTTGGTTATTGCTGATTTTGGTTTTGGCCGACTTTTATTGTCGTTTTTTGGCTTTAGTTTTCGTCAATTACCTCTGTTTTCATCAATCGTACGGAACCTATCCAGTCCCCAGTGTGCAGACAAAGCCGCCTCCCGCACACATTCTCAGCCAGTGTAGCATTCTTTCTCAGTCAGTGAACATATCCTACCAGGTCATACGAAACATTTTATAATACAGTGGACCCCCGCATAACGATATTAATCCGTTCATGAGAGCTCATTGTTATGCGAAATTATCATTATGCGAATGAATTTTCCCCATAAGAAATAATGGAAATCAAATTAATCCGTGCAAGACACCCAAAAGTATGAAAAAATAAATTTTACCACATGAAATATACATTTTCCTACACACAAAGAGAAGGATACATGCACAATAGTAGAGTAGTACATGCACAGTATATATTGTGCATGTACTACTCTATTAAATGAAGAATAAATGACACTTACCTTTATTGAAGATGCAGCAATGACTGATGAGACACTGTGTCCTGGGAGTGCCTTTTCCTCCTGAGTACTGTAGGTCCTGTTTGGCATTTTCTTCCAGAACAGGCCTTATCACACTGTGTATGTCACTACGATTCTTAAATCTCTCGAACCAACCTTTACTGGCTTTAAATTCACCAATATGAGCACTAGTTCCAGGTATTTTTCCCTCTTCATCTGGGTGTTAGTCGACTGGTGTGGGTTGCATCCTGGGAGACAAGATTAAGGACCCCAATGGAAATAAGTTAGACAGTCTTCGATGACACACTTTTTTAGGTTATCCTGGGTGGCTAACCCTCCGGGGTTAATTGTTTCTCGGTAATTGTTTCACATTAAGCCACACCAACAACACTCTCTCCACATCTTCGAGTAATACAGCTGATGGTGGTGCAGCAACAACAACAGCTGTGGTGCAGCAACAGCTGACTGGTCCAATTTATCAGCTGACCGTGGTACGATAGTATTTATCACCCTTTTTACCACAGGGCTGGCACTAGAAGCTTTCTTTGGGCCCATGGTGGCTTATTTAGCAGTTACAAGCACTATAAATAATGGAATAATACAAAATGTATCGAATGTATGCATGCAACCGGCCACCCTGGCTTGTAAACAATGACAGCAAGGCAGGCGCTCAGGCTGGACGGACAGGTTCGGGATGAGTCATGTTCAGAAACAGCTGATGGTGCAACAGCAGCTGACCGTGGTGCAGCAGCAGCTGACTGATCCAGCAACAGCTGACTGGTCCAGCAACAGCTGACTGATCCAGCAACAGCTGACTGATCCAGCAACAGCTGACTGATCCAGCAACAGCTGACTGGTCCAGCAACAGCTGACTGATCCAGCAACAGCTGACTGATCCAGCAACAGCTGACTGATCTAGCAACAACTGACTGATCCAGCAACAGTGATTCTTAAATCTCTCAAACCAACCTTTGCTGGCTTTAAATTTACCAATATGAGCACTAGTTCCAGGCGTTTTTCCCTGTTAACCTGGGTGTTAGTCGACTGGTGTGGGTTGCATCCTGGGAGACAAGATTAAGGACCCCAATGGAAATAAGTTAGACAGTCTTCAATGACACACTTTTTTGGGTTATCCTGGGTGGCTAACCCTCTGGGGTTAATTGTTTCTTGGTATTCTCAGTAAGCCACACCAACAACGGTGCTACAGCAGCAGCAGCAGCAGCAGCAGCTGACAGTGCTACAGCAGCAGCAGCAGCAGCTGACAGTGCTACAGCAGCAGCAGACGATGCTACAGCAGCAGCAGACGATGCTACAGCAGCAGCAGACAGTACTACAGCAGCAGCAGCAGACGGTACTACAGCAGCAGCAGCAGACGGTACTACAGCAGCAGCAGCAGACGGTACTACAGCAGCAGCAGCAGCAGCTGACGGTGGTACAGCAGCAGCAGCAGCTGACAGTGCTACAGCAGCACCAGCAGCTGACAGTGCTACAGCAGCAGCAGCAGCTGGCAGTGCTACAGCAGCAACAGACAATGCTACAGCAGCAGCAGACGGTACTACAACAGCAGCAGCAGCAGCAGCTGACGGTGGTACAGCAGCAGCAGCATCTGACAGTGCTACAGCAGCAGCTGACAGTGCTACAGCAGCAGCAGCAGCTGACAGTGTAGCAGCAGCAGCAGCTGACAGTGCTACAGCAGCAGCAGACAATGCTACAGCAGCAGCAGACAATGCTACAGCAGCAGCAGACGGTACTACAGCAGCAGCAGCAGACGGTACTACAACAGCAGCAGCAGCTGACGGTGGTACAGCAGCAGCAGCAGCTGATGGTGGTACAGCAGCAGCAGCAGCTGATGGTGGTACAGCAGCAGCAGCAGCTGACAGTGCTAGAGCAGCAGCAGCATCAGCAGTTGACCATGGTACCACAGTATTTCGATAATATTTCTCACCCTTTTTACCACAGGGTTGGCACTAGAAGCTTTCTTGGGGCCCATGGTCACTTATTTTGCAGATAAAATCACCAAAAACACTGTAATAATACGAAATGTTACAATTGTATGCTTGGATGTTACCGTGGAGGCTGGCTTGTAAACAATGCCACCAGCGGAACATGTGAGGCTGGGTCAGGCCTCACATAGACGTGTCTCGGACGAACAACGTTGAGCGGGTTTTTTAGCGGCATGCGAGGCAAAATCTTAGCGATAAAATGTATCGGTATGCGGATTTAACGTTATGTAAGGCCAACGGTATGCGGGGGTCCACTGTAATCCATTGTTTTTGCCACTTATTTATCGTGTGTGACTGCTAAATAAGCAACCATTGCCCCAAAGAAAGCTCCTAGTGCCAGTGCTTTGGTAAAGAAAGTGAGGAACACCTTAGAACTGAAAAAAAAAATCCTAAGAAAATATGATAGTGGCATACGCATTGCTGAACTCGGCAGGATGTACAGGAAGTCGCCATCAACAATCAGCTCCATTGTAACAGAGAAAAGAAATTATGGAAGCTGATGTTGCGAATGGGATGAATGCAATAAACAAACAGAGATCCCAGACATTTGAAGAAGTGGAGAAATTGTTGTTGGCATGGATCAGAGAGAAAGAGTTAGCAGGAGATTGTGTTGTGCAGTCAATTATTTGTGGAAAGGCAGGGCAGTTGCATAAGGATCTCATAAAGAAACTGCCTGAAACAAGTGGTGATGAAAGTGAATTCAAGGCCAGTGAAGGCTGGTTCAAAAATTTCAAGAAGCGAAGTTGCATACACAGTGTTGTAAGGCACGGTGAGGGTGCCAATTCAGACAAACAAGCGGCTGAAAAATTCATGCGGGAATTCAAATGTTATGTAGAGTCTGAAAAATTTCAGCCCCAACAAGTGTTCAGTTGTGATGAAACAGGCCTCTTTTGGAAGAAAATACCAAAGAGGACCTACATCATGCAGGAGGAAAAGGCACTGCCAGGACACAAACCTAGGAAAGACAGGCTAACTCTCTTGTTGTGTGGTAATGCTAGTGGGGATTTCAAAGTGAGGCCTTTTACTCGGTATCACTGAAAATCCCAGAGTGTTCAAGGAAAGCAGTGTTGCCAAGAGTAAATTGTGTGTGATGTGAAAGGCAAACAGCAGGGCATAGGTA